CAACTCCAGTGACTGTGTGATAGTAAATCTAACTTTACAGAAGAAAAGTCACGGAAGTTCTGTCAAATCCTAGAATCAATTGTTCGTTTTAGAGTTAAGCACTTTTAGTCCGTTGTTCTGTTGACTCGGTTGTTCATGTGACACTGCCGCTCTTTTTGGTTCTGTTTTTGTTCTGTTCCACGTCAGTATAGATCAACCCACAATTTAAGAACTACAAACGCGTCAGGCAGGGGCACACTTCCTCTTCCTATCAAACTTTTTTCACACTGGATTGACATTAAGCAGTGTTTCCCAAAGTAAGGGGCGGATCCCCGCACAGGGCGCAGAGCTATGGTATGTGTGTCGGTGTGAGGAACAGTGCTCAACAATACTCCTATTTGTATGTAAATACATTACTAGATGTATTTATACATATATTTGTGTATATATGCACACGTGAATATATGTATATATCCATGTATATATGTGTAAATATATATGCATATGTATGTACATATATACTCTGCATTTTTCCAAATATGTATAAATATATACATTATATATTTGTATATATGTATATATGTGTATATTTACAGAACATGATTGCCATCACCATTAAAAGTATCAATAATTTACATTAATTTTTTAACAAAAAAATATATATATATAGAGAGATTTTTATATCTCGATCTTTTTGCTTCCTGATAAATGCACTGTTAAAAAAAAAACAAAAAGAAGCCAAACTTTCTTTTCCCTCAACAAAACTGTCGTCAGCGCTTATTTATTATTTTAGGTGGATGCAATATACACCGACATGATTCCTAAACGCACATTACCCGTTAAGCGTTGCACAACTGAATGCCTTTTTGATCCCATTACTTTTCAAGGTAATTCGTGTCAATGAGGGTGAAGAACAACAGCAGCTGACTGAGCAGAGATTTGTTCATAAACATCTGCCACAACATGGTCTCCTGTCATTACAGATTAATGAGGTTTTAAATAACACCCCAATGTCAATGTCAGTCCCCCCACACACACACACACAACATTGCACACACACACACTCACACATATGTATATATGTGTATATATATATGTATATATATGTTTCTTTATATATGTACATATATACATAAACAGGAAGTAATTGGGAAATGAAATGATCGTACAATGAAAAGACAGGTCGATTTTTTTTTTTTATTATTTTGCTTTTATTTATTGTTTATTTCTCCCCACTGTGAGTCTCTTTTTTTTTTCTTTCTTTCTGGACGTTTTATCAATTGAGACAATCAATACAGTCAGTGAGTCAATAAATACAGTCTGCTACACATCACTATGTATTGCTGCATATACAGCTATGATGCATTGCTCTGTTAATCTTCCCCGCTCTCGGGTCACGGATGGCTGGATTGGTTCACACTCTGCAGACCTTGCCGTCACCCTGGGGAGGCCGCGGTACCAGCAGCTACTTACACAGCGATTGATTCAATCAAAGTAAGCACTGCACTGCCCTTTGTCAGACGGAGTCTAAACACTTACCTGAGAGTCTCGCTATCCTGGAGTCACAAGTTCAGGGCGTTCTGGTGTGTGTGTGTGCGTGTGACTCCTCAGTCTTTCTTGACACTCCCTCTGTCTTTTACACTCTTCACTCTCTTTACACTCTTTGTT